AATTATATTTTGATTGGGCTTTGTGTCACAACAAGATGTAAATAACGTCATTTCTGTACTACCGTTTTTCAAAAATGATATTAAATAACAACAACAACAAAAAAATAATAATAATCTTAATTTGAAGCGATAACAAATTCTTATCACAACAAAATATTGGTTAAGTGATTTATTGAATGAATTTTTATTGATAAAACGTGCAAGTACGCCCAAATTAAATTCACGTTTTATTTCATGCACATTATGCATTTTTTCATTAACAGCCGTGCCAAAGAACATATTAAAAAGGTGCATAATTTATCATTCCAAAAAAAAATGTTTGAAATTGGCACTCAAAATCTTCCTTCAACTGCTGGTTAATAATGCACCGTAATAATAATAATAATAATCAACAAATAACTTAAATGATAAGATTACGTTCCTTTGAATTGATCATTCGATTATCTGAATTATTTTTCATAACGGCTTACAGGTGTTGACCTCTTTTATAATTGCCACTTTTTCACCACTGATAGAATTTTTCAGACAAAAATTAAATTAAATTCACCTGCATAGGATAGGCACGCCGATTTGATGGTTGAACTAATACCGAAACCCCTCTTCGAACTAACCGTTTCACATGATGTGGAGCAAATGGTGCTCTTCGCTCCCATACTGACTGATCTTCACGACGTATCGCAATCACTTTTCCACTCTGCTCGCATTCAAATGACGACGAGGAAAGAAAAAACCCGAAAAAAAAATTAAGAAGATGATAATCGAAAGATGAATTTAAGTTATAATCAAGACTTACATGCTTATATCGAGTAGCGTGGTATTGAATCTTCTGTGATATACGTAACATATTTTTTTCTTTGTTGTCTCTCAAATGAAAAATGAAATTCTAACGGTGGAACAATATTTAAGTTAATTCACATCGACGATGGAAAATCAAATGAAATGAAAAGAAGATTGTTTATAAGTAATGTACTGATGTTTACTCTTATCAATGCGATTAAAAGGAGAAGTGTCTCTCTCTTTTGCGATGTTTTTGAAGAAAACAAGACCGAACACTCGTTAAACGTGACTAAGGAATTTTTTTCATTTGTTATCATTGTCCAAACTTTTCAACTATTTTATGCACGGAGATTAGTAATCTTGGAATCAAAAATAAATCCATATTTATGGAAAAATAACAATAATAACACTAAACAAAAGTGAAACGGAATTTTTTTGATTTTTTTTTTTCTTCCAGTTTCTCCATAATAATGAGCTGTATACTTCAAATCAATTAAGTGGTAAATATGGTTTGATCTAATCATTCGTTTTACATCAAATAAGTTCATTTAAACTGGTCATCTCAAATCGTACTTTCGTTTAATATTTTATATATGTTTTGAAATCACAAATCAAATCAATTGAAAAAAAAATCACATTTATATTAAGTTTGATAAATAAGTGAAATTTGTCCCTTACATAATTTTATATAATATTTTATTCAATTTGAGATAAGCTTGCCAATTATCAATATCATTAGATATCAAATTGAAAAACCTTCAACAATCGAATTAATTTTATTTTGTAGGTTTCTTGCATTGAATCCTCCTATCCATGCACAAATCTATGGAAGAATTTCGGTGCACTTAATAATCTTTCTAAGTTCAGGGCATACCCTTCATATTGAGAAACTGTTCAATTTTCTTTACATATTGCGAAATCACCAATAGGTTAACAAATTGTATCGATGGACGTCTTTTTTAAATGCTATTATAAGAAGGGAAATATATAAAACTTGATAGTTTTTTTTCAATTTTGCAATTTTATTTAAATGTAACTTTGTGGGAAATATACATTTAGATTTGTTATAAATAAACAAAATAAAGAAAAAAAATATATATAATGTAATGAATTACACTTGAAAAAAATCCATCACGTTTGTAGATTTAGTTGAATTTATTCATCTCAAAACATTTCATTAGTTTCTAAACGGTTGCATTTAGTATAATTGCAAATAATAATATAAACTAATAAAGTCTGTTGACACCTCAAATCTGTCTCATTTTTCTGTGGCACCACATGATTCATTGAAATTGATTCATGAACAAACAAAATTGAAAATTCTCATCTAAATGATGTGTATTTTATTTTGCTGTAAATAATAATTATTTGGAGTTAATATTAAGTGCTGTTTGTTTTTCATTATTAATGCATTGACGCGTTCACTGTCTGCTTCAAAGCGCCATATTGTGTTGTGGAAATTCACTAAACAATTTTATGCTACGGATTTAATTTAAATTCATGTTTTTTCCTATCAATTTGCATAAATTTGCCGTTGTTTCATCGATAAGCGGGCGATGCGATTTCTCTATGATGCAAAAATCTTATAATTTTTTGTCAAATTCAATTGAAGAGATGTCAATGTATCTCGCTTCGATTTTCTATTGAACATTATTAATAATATCTTTAACTTTAATCTTTTTTGTTGTTGTTGTTGTTTTTCAAAATGTGTTTTTCGTCGAGTGAATATAGTGTATACATATATTTATAGATCCAAAAGGGCCATTAAACCGCTGGTGTTTCGGGTATCAATGATGAAAAGAATGACGAAATGAATGTACGAAGAAGCGTTAATGTTGGCAATCGATTATTTTCGTCTTGTTCAGCACTGGGTGTCGATGGTGTTGTAGTCGTAGTTTCAGTTTCCTGATTGATCAGTGGTGTCGATTCTCCTTCTCTTTGGTTAGTTTCACCGTCATTCCCATTTTGTGGTTCGGCATTTTCGGCTGGTGCTGGCTCAATTACTTCTGGCTCCTGAGCCACTTCCGGCAAACGTTCCGCTTGGCCTTCCCGCAGATTTCTTAGGTAGTTTTTATAACTGAAATTATATTATTAAACCGTTATCACCATTTTGGACTGCATCAGTTTTGAATCAAATGTTAACACTTACAAATAATATAAAAGAATAGCAATTATCACAATTGAACATCTTCCGGGCGACGAGTAGAAGTAAACGAGCGACATTAAAACAAGTAATCGACTGATTGTGTACAAAATTTCTAGCCAATCACGATTTTCGGCTTCGTCATCAACAGCAACAGCAGCGGCCGCTTGAAATCTTGGAACCTGTACGGCTTCTGGTTGTTGTTCCTGCTGCTGTTGTTGTTGTTGCTGCTGTTGAGAAGCTTGCGGTTCGCTGTTTGTAGTCGACGATGAACTCATATTGGTTGCCGCTGCAAATTGTTGTGGCATACCGAAATTCGGCTGTGGAAAATAGTTCGGGAAATATGGAACATTTGATGTGGCATTGCTTTGTTGTTGCATCGAATTTGCATATTGATTCATGTACTGCAAATACATTTGATTCATCATATTTTGCATAGCCAATTGTTGTGCTATTGCATACTGCTGGGCATACTGTTCGGCTGTGTACTGTGGTTGATTGGCATTCGATTGGGCAAATGACATTCCTGGCATGAATGGCTGTGGCATATTCAAATAACCGGTCATAAATGGTGGCGGTGATGTAGTTGGTGTTTGGTTTGCATTTGCAGCACCAGCATTTCGATGTCTAGACAACGATAAAAACGAACAAAAGAAAAAATACCATTATTTCCATAAAATGTAAATGGATTGCATGCAATCGATGTTATTTCAATTGTTATCTCTGCTTACCTTAAACCGTCCGAGCCGAATGTCGTCTCTGGTTGTTGACTTTGTTGTGATGACTGTTGTCTCGATTGTTGATTGCTATCGGTCGCATCTTTTCGAGTCGATTGTGATGATTTGGCTGATGTCGTTGATGCCAACGATCGATTTTTTGGTGTATATACTAAATGGACTGTATGCGTTTCTTGACCCTCATATTGTCGTAGAACATCTTTTAAAATATGCGCATCGTTCAGCAACTGGCCCGAGTAAATTAGCTTCTGTTCGTCCAATGTCTACATACAATTACGGAAAATAATGATGATATGAATTACCGTTCGGTATTGTGATAATGACTGTGATTTCAACAATAACACGTGACACTGACATAGCGAATTGTTGTTGTTGTGCACAACGCATTTTGGTGGGTAAATTTCTAATTAAAAATGCACATACATTAAATCATATCAAATATGACCTTGTATCTATTTGTATTGGTGGGAATACATTTAGAAGGTAATTAAATTAGAGCAAGCAGATAGATTTTTTTTTGAGCCACCATATGTTTCCGTTTGCTATCTGTCGGAAATTTTAGATTTTTTATATATGAAAAAAGTAGAAACATAAAATGTTTGAATTTCATTGGTATATCTGATTTTCCAAGCGGTATTTTTGGATTATTTGTTCAGTTGTTATTGGCTCTGACTGAATTTAAATTGTGTAACTGGCTGTTTTGTCACTGTTGACACTTTAAGCATGTATTATTCAGAAAGAAAGTTCACATGTATAATTCAGAAGGTGTCAAACATTCAACTCAAAATGCAACGAATTGAAGTGATAATTAATGAAATTTCTTTTAAATTCGTATGTCTGACTCAAACTTGTTTTTCTATTCGAGCGAAAAAAAAATTTGTATTTTTTTTCAAATTATTCATCGATTAAAATAATTTAACGGGGATTGCATCATATCTAGAATAGCATCGAAATACGTGGCTTTTCTATCGATAAACATGTAATTTTATTGTCAACACATGTGCATTTGTTTGGTAAAAGATATTTGATGCAGCCGGTGTATATTTGTATGAGATTGGAGACTTTTTTTTGCGAATCTCGCTAATGAGCGCCATCTGATTTTAGTGTGAATTAGATGCAAAAACTGAATTTAATTCTGTAGCATTGAAATGAAAAAGTGAAAAAACAACAACAATAGCACGGCCACACAGAGCTGTACATCTATGCGTGCTGATGCATACATACACATATACGCTTTCTTCATTCTTTCATTCCATTGCTATACGTATCTCACTGGTCAACAGATCTATGTAGCCATGTTACTGTTGTTGTTTTTTTTCTCTTTTTCGATTCAATTCATTGTAACTAAATTGAGTTCAACTATGGAATACAAGATGGCACAGATGAGGGGAATTCGCATTTTGTCTCTTCATAGGCTTAGCCGGTTGATTTGATGTAAGGAGAAGCAATTGAATACGCTAAAAGAAAATTGCGGCGCAGTTCGCAAGTACAATATAGAATGAATATAATAATAATCACACAATCAACACAGCGATTGTATGCATGAAAAAAATCAAGAGCTGTTTCTCATTCTCGCCCGTTTCTCGTTCGACGGCTTGTGTCTCACAGTATAGACTGCGTATATATGTCACAGATGGAACGCTCACATGTATATATTACTTAACTACACCCAAATATTGATAAATATATATTTTTTCGCTATTCATCGTTTGCCGTGCTTCGAACGCGCCGTTCTTCACTTGATGTAGCTTTTTTTTATCGATACTGATAATGATAGACACTTTTTGCTTTTTGTTTTTATTCGACAAAGTTATGATGTGTCACATTTACTTACCGGATTACATGGGTATACTTCAGATAGATAGCCTTTGAGTTTTCGAATCGACCAGGTTGGTTCGCATTTTATTGTCTGGTCTTGAAACTCTTGATTGGGCGCTTTGACAATTAATGTTACAGGCAATGGATCCATTTTTTTCACCGATTAAATGCACTTTATACTATCCAACAGAGCAGCGTCGAGAGTCCGCAATTTCAAACAATTAACAAATCGTCTCAATCTCAGGTCCAAATGGTGACAATTTCCAATTTTTTTCCTTTCTTCGACAAAACAAATTCACATCCGATTCACTAAAATATTTATTCGACTATTTTTTTTGTGATTTTCTACAACAATTGAGCTCAATTAAAGTTGACAACGAAAAGAAAATAAGATCAAGTGCACTAATAAAATGATTTCGTTCGTTGTTCTATTGTTGCCAGCACGAAAAATCTTTTAAGAAAATAATGTCAAACCGATAAATTCACAAGATTTTGACGTTCTTTTCGCTTTCGAATGAATTTATTGTCTGACAAGAAATATTTTTCAACAATTTATAAACGAATCACACGGAATTATTATCGAATGTATATTTGCACGATGAAAATTTTCGTGGTTTCTCGTACAGTGAAAAAGTTGATTATTTGTTCGCCTGTCATTGGATGAAACGCTGTGTTAGTGTTTTTTTTCCTCTGTCGTCGCTGTTACCATACGTTTCGTTTACATTACGAATGTTTTGTGATGATGTGAGACGGTCACCTGGATTTGTCTCACTCTAACGCATTACGTATGATGTACCGACCGTCGTATGCGGAGTGTACTCATGTGTTTTGAATTTTTCATATAAGCCAAACACATTCATTCGATGCTGAATTTGTATATTCTACTGTTTATGTTTTCAATTTTATTTGCTGGTTTTTTGTTCATCGTTTCGTTTATTATTAAAAAATTTTTCGCTTCTTCTTTGCTTTCTCATGATCTACTTTCCATCATATTGCAATTGAATTCAAATAAAACCGAAAAAATGATAGCCCATTTATTTATTTGAAAATCGATTACTAAACAATTTCAGTGAAAGTTCATAATTTGCCAACTATTTTGATTACATTTTCTTTGTTTTTTTCTTCGAATAAATTGTCGTGATGATACACAAGTTGGTATTTTACCAAACCAAACCATGGAGTTCATATAGTGTATGGACAGATGCATTTTTTATTATTTAGTCGCCAAGTTTTTTAAAGGACAATCACTTAATAAGCCGATGATAGGAGCGTATATGCCGTTTGCACTATGAATATTTGAAGCATCAATTACAGTTACGTGCAATTAATTGGATTCGAACTTGAACATTTTATCAATCATTCCAGCCACATGTACGAGAAAAACTTAACATGCCATGCACCCAATATGAACGTGCTTAAATCGGTAGACATAAACATTCGTAATTTTTTTGTTGATAATTTGGCGCGTTTACTAATTGTTTCTCAAATCCTAATACAGTCTCAAATTTCCAAACCATGGTCGAAAAAACCTTTTTTTTAGCCGTATGAATGAATCATATTGAACCTATCGAATTTCATTGAGTCATCATTGTCAAACTGCAACGTCAGATCGCGTTTAATAAAAGAGTCGACAAATTAAATAAGTAGTTGCACGAAAAGTCGGTCGATATAAGAAAGGTCGATATTGAAAAGAGGGTTTTTGATTCAACTCGGATCAAAATCGATTACTTGGGGTCAAAAATCATATCAAATCGAAAGAGGTAATCCAATTCGAAGGAGGAGAAGATAATCGGACTCTAATAATATTGTGTTATTGCTACAGTCGCCGAATTTTGTGCATATTTCCCTCAATAAAATCGAATGTTTACACAAAATTAAATAAACAGTAAGCAACAGTGTTAATAATGATCTGCTCTTCAATACTGACCGAAGTATATTCGATAAATGAGCTTCGATTTTTTCGTCATTCTCAGTTCGGTTTTGGACAAGACAAGTTGATGTCAATAAGGTTACTCACCGCAATTACAGTCGATCAAAGTCACCGTTATGGAAAAACAGTGGAAAAGCCAATTGAAAACATGGAAAGAGTTGAGGGATCAGTCAGATATGCTGATAAAACGAACACTGGAAAAACATTTTCCATGCGATTATGCGAGTCCACGACCGGAAATGGCTCACACATCATATCAACAAGCGGAATCGTCGATTGGTCGTGCGTTGTGGGTTTATGCACGTGCTGATCTAACCATAAAAGGCATTCAATTACAACCAAAAGGGCCGCGAAACAAATAACCTAAAAATCAATTGAATATTTTTTTGTAAATCAGCGACGAAACGGAGTAATAAAATTACACGAAATTTAGAATCTATTGACTTTTTATTTACATTTTCAACAAACTACATTTCAACTAATTTTTCATCATCCGATTTGTCGGTCGAATCACATTCGTTTTCCACAATTTCAACTGGCATTCGATCGCCCCAGTCACTTTTTCTCGCACAACCGTAAGTATTTCTGAAAGAAAAAGAACAATTTCAATTAAAACAATGTTAATTCCAAAGTGAAAAAAAAATATGTCGACGATTGACATACTTTGAGTGTTTGCCTTTTGTCACAACTAATTCCTCCAATTTGCCTCGATGTGTGCACAGTTTGCATCGTGTGTGTCGCGTTCTCACTTGTGTCGGTCGCACCAATCGTGGCCAATTCATTGTGGGATCGTCATCTCGTGAACCTTTCTTAAAAACCACATAACTGTACCGAATGATTTCATCTTTGGGCCGTTGACCAATGTCCAATGAACGATATCTGGCGCTGAAATTACACGGTGTGCCATCATCTTTCAAAACACGTGGACAAGCCATTTCATGTGGACACTGGATAAGAAAAAAATCAGTTATCTTCGCGGATTTGAATAAAATATTTTAACTGACCGGTGCAAAGAGGTAGCCTGATTGCCTATTAGCTTGCTGCGTTAGAAATTCTCGTGCTTCCTCAATTAATTTAAATCCGGTATTTGTGCCATTTTCAATTAGTACCATATAGCCGTCGCATTTTTTCCACAGTGTAAGCAAGGTATCGAGTCTGGTTTTCAGGTCAGGTAGCTCATTCAATGTGAATGCACTCAGTATCAGGTGAGATTTAAACTGAAAATTGGTGAAAATAAAACATATGAATATTTATGACATTTTTTTGTTAGCTGTTTAATTTTGTATTTTGAGATTTTTTTTTTTTTTTTGTATAAATATTTACCTCATCTGAAGCCGGTAAAAATTGTCGATAAAATACATTTCTCAATGAAACTGCTTTTTGATCATTTCCATCGCGCAAAATCAATTCGGCCAAATCGTTCATTTGACCACTTTGATCGACCAAAAAATATTCGTACACTGATTTTTTCCAAAGTTCCGATACTGCCCATGTACCCGTTCCGACGCCAGCACCAAAATCAAAAAACGAATGCGGTTGAAATTGTGGATCTCTCTTTGCAATCTCACTTAAAACTTTTAAAACAGCAGCATACTCCTTATCAGCCCGTCCAAATAAATGCGTACGTGATCTGAACTCGTCATAAACAATCGGCTTCCAATTGTAATTTCTCTGATAATAAATTCTCAACACTTCATATTTCAACGATTCTTTTGCCCGCGAATTATCATCACCGGCTACATTTTTTAATAAAAAAAAACATTTGAAGAAAACTCATTTTGCTCGGAATAAATGACGGCCTTACATAAGAAACACATGTAAGTAGGCTGGTTTTGCATTTGCCTTTTGCGCTGTCTCTTTATATATTTGGTTTTTGCTCTCATAAAATTTGTATTAGTATTATTTGCAACATGTTCTGTATGTTATTGTTTTCTTCTAAGGCCGTCAAATGATATGCATTAAAACATACCCAGATCAGATACACGTTGAACTCCAACATTCTTCAGAATTTCCTTTTCTATACTCTTTTTTTGTGTATAAATTTCTTTTTGTTCTAATGGTATGCGACGTGCAAACAAATGCCGGTCCAGTTTCTCGCCTTCATCAACCAACTGAGGAATTTGCGATTCTAAAAATGTGTAAAAAAAATTTCGAGATTTAAGCATGGTAAAAACAAACTAAGAAACTAAGTATCTCTCACGATCCATTGCAGTCTTTATTGCTTTGCGTATTCTTTCAGGAATTTCAATGGGACCTAGGTTAACCCTTCCCGGGTGATTTTTTGGTTTGTATAATTCCTCCTCTAGATCTTTGTTTATTTTGTCATCTAAATGCACCGAAAATGATGACCAAGAGCGAACCTTTAACGATTAATTCAAATTAGTGGCCAGCGCAAGGAGGCAATTTCAAACAAGGTTAAAGAGCAAACCTGAACCAGTCGAAACACATTTCGCAGCAGTAACGCACCTTTAAAGTGCAACATGTTTAACGTTTTTTAATTAAAATATTCAATTTTCAATTTATTTGAAGAAATTCGGTGATAAGTTCACATTAAAGTTCATTTGTTGTCTATTATTTAAAATCCAGCATGTTATGGGTCCGAAATATGAAATGACAGTTGTCGGAGTGTTTTGACAGGCAGCGACTGCAACGCTACAACACCAACATTGATGATTCGATTGAAATGATGAAATCATATCTAAAAAAAATATTGAAATTTTTTTTCTCTATTTTCCAATTACTTAAATTCAAAATTAAATAATAAAAAAATTAAATATGGAAAATATTCTATGTTTTCTTTTAATCATTCAAAGCAAACATTATTTCGAAACTTCGATTCATTGTGACAGTTGAGCGATAGTGGCGACGCCATTGAATCAGTGCTTGTGTAACTTGCATGTATGCGTGTATCTCACATCAATTCAAATCTAGTTTTCAAACGTATCACAGCTTGTTTGTGGCATTCACTGTTTAAAAAAAAAAATGAAAAACTCGAACAAAATCGATTTCATCACGAAAACGTTTTGAACAAATTGCTTTTCATCGATAGTTTTGTGCAAAAGTGTTGGTTTTTAATTTTGTTTTGAGTTCATTTTGACGGGAAAAAATGTAAAAATGGTGCGAAAGTATGGAAATAAAACCAAGCAAAAGAGTCAACCGGCGAAGAGTACACGAACGAAAAAAGGAAAAAAAGTTTCAAATGTGGCTAGCCCACAAACCATTTCGTCATCGTCGGACCTCGATTACACATTACCCGAAGGAAACCATCTTGACTCATTTGATCTCTTTCGATTGAACCAAGTACAGTTAGTAGAAAAAATCCATTTTGTTTCGGTGTTCAATACACACGCACATAAAATTAGGTTAGCGGTTTAAATTTTGGATATTTTTTTTTCATTCCCTTTATGTAGTACGTTAAAAGAGAAAAAAGTTTTAAAGAAAGATGTACGAGCATCATTCAATCGAGACAGTAGCATTGATGCGGACTCAGATGAGTGAGTATTTTATTTAAATGTCATATTTTTCACAGTTTTTTTAACAAAATGTTTTTTTTTTAATATGTAGTTCGTCGATGCAAGTATCGATACAGGTATCGACTGTGGAAGAATCCATTGACAGTGAAGATGAAGAAAATGTGGACCCAAGGAATTCTGAGGAAAGTCTTCCGTTACAGGAGTCCATAAATTCTTGGAATAGTTTTCGATTCAGTGCAAATACACGGGCGTAAGCATTTTATTAAATCATTTTTTTTACTCATTCCAATAAAATTCACATCGACTTATTTCCATTAAACATTTCATTTTTATAGACGACGACAGCAAGAGAAAGCTAGATTGAAAGAATTACAACCAAAACGACCGCCAACAAATTATCTGAATTTAAAACCGGCATTTCATGTGTCACCACTTGATAAGTATTTAAGGCCACACTTAACACCACAATTCACGCACACCTCGACACCCGAAAAATTCTTTTCCGAAGCAAATTTGAGTAGCATTCATAACGCGACTGATGAGTCTGCTGTAAAATTGCCTGAAAACGAAAAGCCAAATATCAGCCAAGCTGAAACAACAAAGCCATCGTTTATTCATCCAGCAGTGTTTGTTGCCCACCGACGTCCAAAACCAATGCCTGGACGGCATTTGACGTTTTCGTCAGTCGAACGGACACAAATGGAAAAGAATGATGACGAAATGATGGACAATTCAACAGCGTCGACCAGCATTGTCAGTGTAATGGATATGAGTAGTATACTTGGATGCGAACACGAGGAGAATGCGCAACTTTCGGACGAAAGTGTTGACAATGCATCTTCAATTAACGAATTAAATACATCACATACAAATAATAAGACTGAAGACAATATTGAAAAGACTAAAAATAGCAAGCAATTTATTTCTAATCAATTAACTAATATAAATATTTCGGCCGCAATTGTGGCAAATGATAGCCTAAGTTCGTTTGAAAGTAATGTTGAAAATGATATGGCCTCCAAAAGTCTATTGAATCAATGTCACAACGATGTGTCTAGTGATGCAGTTATTTCGGTATCATCGTCGTCGACAACAAATTCACCAACGACAACAATAGCTAAAGTCAGTATCAAGCCTCGGGTTGGTTTCGATGCATCTAATTCCATTCATGAATTGAGCATGGTCTCAGAACAAAATATATCTAGTCAAAAAATTGTGATGAAAGGTGGAAAATGGCGACGAACTATCTTTGAGGCGCGTCGAAACAAAGTTACTCAATGTAAGTTTAAAATATATACATGTAACTAATTTCTTGGGTCATTTCTGTTGAAGTATTTTTTTCTAATTAAAATAATCATCTCTTACAGCGCCAAGACGAACGTTGGAACGAAAAAGTGAACCAAAGTCAAGAGAAAGCCATATTCGACCAAGTCAAGGCAATATTCTACGACGAAGAAGCATTTTTATTAAGGACGTAAGTAGTTTTTCTCTCTTTTGCCATTCCATTTTCATAGTAAAAAGCATAAAACACATTTTGATGGATTTTTTTTAAATAATAAATTTCGTATACTTTTTCATTGTAGATCCCAGATCGAAAGACAATTAATAGCCAAGTGCAGCGAAAGTCTCATCAAACCGGTAAGTTTGCATTCATGATTTCTTTTTCCCTGTTTTTTTTTTTTAAATCGTTAAAACTCGACGAACAGAACTTCAAATAAACTGCAACTTCATGTTTAAATTTAAAAGCCGAAAGCCGAAACAATCATACATAGACGACGACGACATCGGCTCACATCGAAGATAAATGAAGTGTAATCGGCTTTACGTATTTATCTCTCTCTTTTCTTCATTCGAAATTGTGTGCTGTGTATTACGATTCAAGTGAATGCTTTTTACACGACTGTAAAGTGCACGAGACAACGCTACAGCTAACCTTTCACAATAACACAGTTACGAGTTCTCGTGGTCTGGCTTCCATATAAAATTATACATAATTATAGGAGTCGCAATGCCAGCAACACGAAATCGTATTTCTTGGTATTTTCTTTTCAATCCATTTTGGTCTTTTGTCATATATATATCGCCATCGTTTGTCCATGTATGTGTGTGGCTCGAACAAAACATGCAATTTCACAAGTACCTCTATCCATCTCCGTCGCACCGATGTGTCATCACTGCACGTTCTCGTCTCTTTTCGCTTGCTCTTTGTATCACACCATTGGTTGTGACTTGTGTGTGCGTGCATGAATTGTTGTGAGTGTGAATGTGTGTTTTATTTTTTCGTAGAATTGCCATCACAGCGCACTGTTTGTGTAATAGCTTGGCTTGGGTTTTCACTACAATATTCATTTTCTGTACGAAAATATATACATGTATCATGTGTGCGAGCTGTATGGTATGCTTGTGTGCGTTCAATTTCTTGAGACTGTGTACGAATAATATCGACGAAACGAATCAACAAATTGCCAGATAGAGAAAAATTCACAGTCGAAAAACAACGTATAGCTTCGTTTATTTTATTTTCTTTGGTTAAAACGTTTTCCAAATTGTGTGAAAAGTGTTTTTTATTTACGAAAAGTAAATGTTATAAGTAATTTTGTGTTTGTAAGAAATCAAATTCGATAGACTTTTCATCAAAATCAAGCGAATATATTATTTTGTTCGTTAGAATTGTGAGTGTTGGAAAAAATTCGACTTTGCCTTTTGTGCGATTTTTTTTTTGTTGTTTGAGTTTGTTTGCTAATTCACCATTTATTCTCATTTTTTTTCTCGATGGTTTAATTGAGTGAATGACAAAAAATATTTTTTGCTTGCATTGCATTGTAATTACAAAGCCACCAGTCAGTCAGGCTTAACATTTTTTTTTTCAACATAAAAATATCTTTTTCAACAAAAGTGAATAAGTATTGGTTTATTACAATGCAAAAATTAAATCTAAGCTCAGTAGAAAAGCAAATAAATAAATGTGCGAAGTTAGCAGAAAAAACACACATAGAGAGAGAGAGAGAGAGAGAGAGAGAGAGAGAGAGAGAGAGAGAGA